CAGGAGAAGATTTGGGATCACGCGGCTGGTGTTGTGCTCGTGCAGGAGGCGGGTGGTGAGGTTAGTGATGCGTATGGCAAGCCGCTTAACTTTGGTCTGGGCAGGACGCTGAGGGAGAATAAGGGTGTTGTTGCTGCGCCTAAGGATGCGTTTAAGCAGGTTATTGAGGTGGTTAAGGAGGTGCTGTTGAGTAAGAAGGAGTAGAGATGTGGTTGTTGAATGATATGATATGACGATTATGTGTACTAAGTTATACTGCTTTAGTTGTGATGTCCTGCCTTTTGACGTCTTGGAAAGCTTCATATACGATGCCGTCATGGCGGGGTGGATATCGTTCTTTGCTCTCGAAACATATTGCGAGTGGAACAGTCACAATCAACCAATACTCATAAAAACGTTCTAGCAGAAAACCCACGTCCAAACTCTCATTGAACTACCCCAATACTCTAGTTTAAAAACAAAGAAAACGCCAAAATGCGGAACCATAAAGATACCCATCAGATATCCCTCCCTTACCATACCATACCATACCAACCTAACTTACTCCTACTCCAGTTCCAGTCCCAGTCCCAATCCCAATCCCAATATACCAGTAAAATACCCTCCCATTTCCCCACCAGCAAAAGCCCTAGTAAAGCGTAACTAAACTTCCCTATTTTCGAACCATATTTCCTTCCCGTTGGGTATCACCTGCTTTAGATCCTCCATTCGTTTCTTGCTCCGTGGAGACAAGTTTGTTTCCTTAGCCTTTGTTTACTCCGTTAAAGTGCAATTTGGTATCTCTTCTCTCCGTCGTGGATGATGTTGGAGATGACGTTGGTGCTGTGTTGTTGAAGTGAGCGATGCGTTGCTTTCGCGTGTTGAGATCGACTGTCGAAGTTGTTGAGTGGCGACTCATGCTGTGAGTGTAGTCGTAGGCGTAAGGATACCGCCGCCGAGAGTATCATCCCCGCTCTCATCGACAAAGGTACTTTCGGCACCTGCGTCGAGCTCGTCGGTGTCGACATCCGCCTCCGCACCGGTATCGTTGACTTCCTCAGTCTGTTCTTGCTCGTTGTCATGCTGAACGTGTTCAGCCTCGACGTCTACCGGTAGATGCAGTATGTGGGCACTCATTCCTGGCACAGGAGTGAGATGCATCTGCGCTAGTCCTTGTTGAAGTGCCTCCACCTCCTCGTTCACGTCTTCAGTCATCTCGACGTTGTTCTCTTCATCGTCAGAATGGTCGTAGGCAGCGTGGTACGGCGAAGGCCCAGACGCACTGATGGTGGTCAGGTTTGCGGGTTCCTCCATGACACCGAATTCTGTTGTCACAGTGATAGAGTCCGGGCTCGGGATGGGTAGCTCGTGTGCATATGATGAGGGGCCATCCATGGTCGGGTTGACAGTGCTCTCATCATAGACTGTTGTGAAGAACTCGAACATCTGTCCAGCCAGCTCATCTGCTTGCCCGCGCTCTTCCTTGTCTTTCCTCTGCTTGGCAATGGCACGAAGTTGTTCCTCTTTCTTTTGTTTGATCTCCGCCTCAAGCCGGCATTTAGCACGAACGTTGGGTTTGTGCGTGCATGTCGGGCAGTGGTAGTTGACAGTGCAGAATGTGCACGTGCAAGTTGGATTCGATGATGCGCATTGCTAAAGACATGTTAGTGATCTGTCATAATCAGGTATTGGTAGTAAACTTACATCGCAAACAAGAACCGCACACTCCGAGCACTCCTTGAGAATTGCTGGACACTGTGGTCGGACATCTCCTGCGGGTCTCGGGTACTGGCAAAAGTATGCACCACAACCACTCCACTGAACGGGATGCCGCGGATTGCACGGTAGGGGAAGAGGGTTTGTGACAGGGTGATTGATAGGGACGCGTTGCGAATTCGGCGGCCAAGCACTGGTGGGTCGACCGCGGACGCCAGATACACTGAAGGAACGCGGACGCCCTGAGCTAATGGGGACAAACGATAACGAGGTGGCAAGTTGGAAAGGCTCGGGATTTGAAATGGAATTGAAGGATGTGGTGGTCGACATGTCGATTGACGAGTGTTGGGGAGCAACCATGATCTGCGACTGAGACATGGGCGTCTCGGAGGACTCAGATTCGTTGTCACCTGTGGAGTAAAAGTCTAGATGCGATGACGATGCTGTAGGCGTGCGTTCAGGATCCGGTGTACTGGCCCTGTTTGGATTGAACTCGGGTATTACGAGGCGTTGTGGCGGCTCGTTGTGTGACCGCACATGATCCCGCTCCGTATGTAGCTCCCGATAGCCGCACTTGCGGACCTTGAGCGCCCTGAAGTCATGCTCCTTGCATATGGGGTTTTTGCAAGCCCGACATGACACTTTCCACCGGAAGCTTCGATAGCAGTCGTTACATAGCCCTCTCGGACATGTTTGTTGTTGTAGGTCAAGCGAGTCTTGTTTCAGGTACGACAGGATATCAACGTCTTCCCCAAGCACATATTCGTACAGGCCGTTGTTCTTCAACTCCCGGACGTAGTCCACGGGTCGAAGTGTGTTGCTGAAGTCCGGATCCTCATACTCCTTTGTGCGAGGTAAAGGCGCTGCGCGTATCTTATCCGCTCCTCGGCCACCCAGTCCAGTACCCAGAACAGCAATACCGCCACCGCCAGAGAAGATGGGCTCAAGACAGCACCAATGCATGTTCAATTTTGGTGGCTCGCGGTTTGCAGGTGGTACAGGCATACCGTTGTTCCCGTCTTCGGAATCAGAGTCGTCATCATCCTGTGCACCCTCGTTCATGAGGTTCGGTGATCGGCTCGCGCCTGGGGCCCACCAGAAGCGGTTTTGGTCGGCCTTTTCCTCTTGACTCCGGTCTTCCAGTGGTCCAGAAGACCCTGACGCGTGACCGAGTGTACCGCCCAATGTGCTGCTGTTGCCAAAGGCCAGGTTGGCGAAGTGCCGTGTCTTGACTCGTTTCCTCGGTATCGGCCTGTTGAAGGCGCAGCTCGCACAGAGCGTCTTCCTGCAGCCCATGCAGTGCATGCGGACACTGCACGACTCGCATCGCTCCAGGATGGGATCGTTGCATTGGGCGCATTTGACCTCTTCAACAAAGGCAGTGTGGCTCCTCCGCTCGTGCACTGGGACATGTTTGCCTTCTCCGGCGGAGTTCCCGTCTTCGGGACCGAGTGGCTCGCCATCTTCTCCTGTCTCGGCAATCTCCCATAGTCTGCCATCGTGCTCGCCCAGCTTTGTCGTGCCTTCTACCGGGCCAATGCGGTTGCTCGATCGCCATAACCGGTCAAAGGGTACCCAGACTTCCATGTTCTGGGGTCCTGCTCTTCCAGCGTGGTAGTCCTTCCTCCGGTTGCACCTGCCGCCCGGTGTCGGACACCACGCTGTATCTGTCCATATCCCCAACTGGTGGCATATCTCGATGAGCTGGTGGGTAGGGTCGGAATCGGAGTCTCGCCGGATGAGGGAGGAGGGCAGATAGGGCCGCCGGCGGTGGTGTCGACAGCGGTAGGTGTATAGGCTCTTCAGAGCGAGGTCCTTCTTTATCCAGGGTGCGTCCTTGAGTGTGTAGGGTTCGAGGAAGGGCACGATGTGGTACTTGATGGAGACGTTCTTGCAGCCGCGTACCGACAGGTGCTGGAGGGTGTCCTTGCGCGGGCCAACTACGTCGCCAATGAGCGAGACGCCAGCCACAGCCGTGTTGCAGAGGTCCAGGCTAGTCAATCGTGACCCGTTTGGCAGTATGGTCTGTATGAGGAGGGCGTTTAGCGAGTAGGCCTTGGACTGGCGTTCCCGGTTCTCAGGCGTCTCGTTGCCGGGCGAGCCCACTGCGACGGCGGGCTGGGGCAGGCGGAAGGAGAGCGTCTTCCATGCGAGGGGGTACTGCTGCAGGAAGTGGCGCAAGTGCCGTGATGTGTGGTAGAGTTCGAGGAGGGTGACGGTGGAGATCTGGGCGAGGAGCGACTCCAGGACGGGCGGGTACGAGGTGATGATGGACTCGAACAGGCTGAGGGCGGCGCCTGGTGCGGCGGCGTGGCTCACTGCTATCGTCTCGGTGTGCGTCGTCGCGGCTTTGTCGCCATGGCGGGTGGTGCAGGCCCCGAAGTCGCCGTGGCCGCCGTGGAGTATCGTGCTCATGCTGCGTGGGTGGTGGGTGACGGTGACGGTGTCTACACAATCACGCCCGGGGAGGAGAGAGCAGCGACATGCACGGGTGGAGCGCGTTGAGTCGTGTCGCGCAAGCGAAGATGGTCGTGTGAGATGGCTTGGCCAGCCGTCGGTCGCAGGCCAGGGTTCTTAGGCCAAGATGAAGGCGATCCGTTTGCCGTCGCCGGGCGATCTTTGTGCCTCACCGATAGCCAGGTGCGACTAGCAGTACCATCCTCACTGTTACTCGGCTCACGCTGCCGGCGACCACCTCAAAGACGCGAAACTTGACGTGCCAAGCTGAGACTTTGATAGATATGCATTCGGCCCTCCTCACCCTCACGCCGGCGCCAACCAGCCTATCAGCCAGCGGCACATTGCAGTCCCTCCCTCAGCCTTGCCGCGACAGCCCTCTGCCAGCTCAACACGGTGCATCACCTGGCGACACTAGTGCGCGTTGCTTTTGCCTGTTGGCAGACACGACACTCCAACTTCATTCGCCTGTGCGCGTCCATAATCACATCATCCGCGCTTGCTGTGCGACTGCTACTGAAACCCCTTTACCCCGCTGCACTGTGCCAATTCGCCACCCTCAGCATATCATGGCAGGAGAAACAACACCAAACTAAAAATATTACATAGGCTACGCTAAGAGGATATCAAACAAAGTACGCCAGGTAGGCCCTTGAGCCAAAAGTTATTGTCCATACGCTCGTGCCCACAACATATTCCAACAAAAACAAAGACAAAACGCCGCAGGGACCTCTGCGCTACTGAGTGCATACGCAGGGCAGCATGCGAAGAGCAAAGAGTATGCAGCAGAGTTGTGTCCCTGTCCTAAGAACATGAGATCTGCAGACTAAATATTCCAAGTACCAGAATCAGAACACCCAATTGCCCTGCGTATCCCGATCTTCAAGCCCATCAAACAGGACAATATCCCATTGATCCTCATCCTCACCAGCCGGCGGCCACAGCGAATTATCAATGAATGAAAACACTGGAAGATGCTGTCCCGTAGCGGTAGCATTCATCAACTTGCCCGCGTCAGAATCAATATCGAAAACCGGGCGTATGGGCAACTTCATAAACTCCAATTCCACTGTCCCGAAGAAAGGTATCGTGTGGCGGACTTTGCCACTGGGCTGTTTGCTCGGGTCCAGTGAGGAGAGGATCTTCTTGAGTACTATAGCGCTGCGTGCTGCGATTCTTTCGCGTGGGCTGGCGCTGGCCAGTTTTTCCATTTCGCCGATGAGACGACATATCATGGCGAAGTCTGTTCCTTTGGTCTTCTTTACTTCGATTTTGTCTTTTGTGCCTAGCTCGATGACGATGTCCAGTGTGAGTGTGACGGCGGCGATGAAGACTGAAAGCTCGGCGAATCGACAACACGCTTGCGTGATGCTTGCGTTGCGGAGCGCGAACCATCTCATCAAGATGTTGCGGCAGGCCTGTAACGCGGTGACCTTGGAGTACTCGTATCGATTGTCGAGATGTGCTCTGAGTAGGTAAGGCAGGTGGATGAATAGCTTCATCTCAAAGTGCCAGACTTGCACCATCAGTCGCTCCAGTGTAGCGAAAGACTCTGGCGATCTTGCTGTCGACGGTATATTTGGTACTTCCCAGAAGTCCTTGGGCATCTCCTTCATGGAGAATTCCAGCTGCTCGTCCAATGCCAGCGCTGCCGAATATGCCTGTGGCGAGACATCGCGATCAAGCTCCGCCACTTGTCTTGTCAGGTAGTTGAGTTTCGACCGATGAACGAGATGTGGGCTGGCGTCTGCTGGAAGTGGATAGTCGTCCGCGCCGAACGGGAGGCGGAGATGCAGTCCTAAATACCGATCAATGTCAACGAAGTGGCGCCATATCGACTTGGCGTCCGAAATCGCTGGGATCGGGGGGTTAAGGTCGTCCTGCGCAATGATGCGCTGGAATCCCATAAGATGTGCCAGGCTTAGACCGCGCCGCACAACAAGCCATGACTGCCGTAACGAAGCACTGTTTAGATGGTAGAGAGCTAGGAGCAAAAGCACCTCAAGCCCATGCAACGTCATCATCTGCTCGTCCGAGGAGGTTACCAACGATGTCACCGTCGATACATAGTTTTGCATCGTCACCTCCATGTTCCAGATGCTCGAGAGGCGCGAATGATCGAAATCGGGTGGGAGCGAGTTGATACAGATGGCCAGATGCAGTAATGTGCGAGCGATGATGATAGGCCGCTCTTGTGCCACAGCCTGCATACACAGAGCGTACGACTGCAGGTCGTTGTTAACATATATTTCTTTCGACGCCCGGTAGATGCCTTCTAAGATCATCCACCCGTTAGACGATTCGAAGATGATATCTGCATCGTGCTGTGATGGCAACAAGGCGGCTAGGGTTCGGTGAATGTTGTCGTAGTCTGAGGGCTGCCCCTTGCTATCTGACTTGTTGACCAAAGTACGAAGAGAGGGCGCTGAAGTCCATGTTTGCGCCCCAAGCTGACAACGTTAGTGTGGGCGGTAGGAGGAATAGACTCGACTTACGATCCCATCGGCCAGTGAGGAAGTGCTATACGCATCGCTTCGCAGTTCCGATACATCCGGTTTGATGTCTTTCTCGGTAGAGCCTGAGGCAGTGAGGGCAGGGCTGTGCGGCACAGTAGTGGCGGCGCCTGCGGTGGCATTTTTACGACACACAAATCTTTCAAAAAGTTGTTCCAGTTTGCATAGCCTTTCTTGGATGTGGTTTGAGCATGGATTCCCGTCATCTATCCGATCCGATCCGGTATTGTCCATGATGGCGGAAGAGTTGAGGGTATTTTGGCTCGCATTCCCGTGAACTTTGCGCTTCTTGCCTGTAGCACCTTTAGTAAGTAGTCCAGAGAATGTGTAAACGGATCCTAGTCTTACACTCCCAGCATGCCCGGCGTAGACTTTTCGAAGGTCGTTTCTTAGAAGTATTACTCGCGTTACTCAATGATTCCATCATAGTCTTGGCGACAACAAACGATGAAGATGGTATGATGTACGGAGATCTGGTAGTCCTGTCACAGGCCTATACCTGATAGGGGCGGCCATGTTACTTTCATAGTGGGGTGAAGGTGTTGCGATGGCAATGCTGATGTGGAGCTGACGCTGTCGGACCGCCGGCCGGGTTTCGTCCGCAACGGATGCCGAGAATTCCTCTACTTTAGTAAGTCATACAACTCCGGCGCTTGGTAACGGCAAGGGAGGCTCGCCCGAGGACATGGCCACCTTAATAAGCGCATCTCAACGGGTACGGTACAATATACTCGTGTTTGATGCTTTTAGTGTGCTCTTATCCGCAGTCCTCAATTTCATAGGTACTTTGGTGTTGAGAAGTTCGCAATTTTGGATTATCGACATGTCGGCTCCAGGGATGCCCCGACGGATGATTGCACAACGCGACCAGTGCTTATGCGGCCTATCTCCGCCGTGTTCGAACGCACTTAGAAAAGCCACGCGCATTGTTGACAAAGTCTGGAAAACTTGCCTCTCGGATACGGATATCCTATTACCAACATGTCGCTCAAGATCGTAGTTTCTGGTGTCACCGGTCGCATTGGCGCGCATGTGCTGCACCATGCGCTACAAAACCCGCTCGTATCGAGGGTCATCGCAATATCACGGAGGCCCCCACCCGGGATAGAAATGCACGCTAAGCTGGAGGTAGTGTTGCTTGAGGACTTTACAAAATACCCCGACGATGTGCTTGCGAAACTATCCGGGGCAGACGGATGCATCTGGTACCGAGGCACCTGCGTCATATTCCCCAACAATTGCTGACGTGCAAGGTGTATGACAACAACGGCTGGTGATCCTATGTTAGAGCTAGAGTATCCCAAGGCGTTTGCTGAGGCGTTTGCATCGACCATGCCTGTCGACTCAAAGCGCTTTCGGTATTTGCACTTGTCAGGCGGTATGGTGGAACGCGATCAGGAGAAGTCATTATGGATGAAGGGCTCGATGCGCAAGATCAAGGTAGGCGATTATTGTTCTTTGGTGATACCATGTGCGCAAATCGCGGTTAGAATGATCCGGGGCAAGCTGCCAAACGTGCTGACTCTGCGTAGGGCCGTGGGGAAGTTCAAATGCTTGAATTCGCCAAGATGAATGAAAACTGGAGAACGGTCATAGCTCGGCCAGGCATGGTTGTACAAAGAGGTAGTATTGTTGGTGAGGCTTCCATGATGATGGCTGGCTCTTCTGGCTCCTTCATCCGATTTGATGAGCTTGCGCTTGCACTCGTGGATGCGGTCGTGCATGGCAGTGAAGAGCTGTTGCTACCTTCTACGCTCGTACAACGCGGCCAACAATTGGCGAGGGAGGCCACCGAGTGACCTTTTCAGTCAGAAACGAGGACGGATAGGGAGGGGGAGATATGTTGGATTCCATTTGATCCATGAATTGGAAGCGAAGGCCGGCGCCAAACTACCGCTTAATTTCCTACCCGCAGAGTGTCTCCGCAGTTGATCACTGTCAATACCGGGTATGTTCCGCGTGTGCGCATGACGATCGAGATCATCCATGTTCGCCCGCTATCTGCTGGTATTCCCAAAATCCTATGCAACGTAACGCAGAGTAAGACCTTTCAGGCGTACATATCATCGTAGTCTTCTTCGTCGTCATCCGCAGGCGGTGGCGGCGGTTGTTTCTTCTTCAACAGTTCTTTGCGATCAAGAGGGCATGTGGAGTTCAGCTTGAGCCAAGGTCCTATGCAGTCCAGGTCGAAGCGATGATCGTCGTGACAAGGCAGCTGGACTACGAGTGGGTACTTGTCTATGCAATCACCATCAGCCAAGCTCTCATGCTCTCCATCGAGTCTTTGAGACGTGCGACGTACCTTCAAGGAATGGGTTCACGCAAATGGGGCAGGTGTCTGAAGGCTTCAGCGCTTTCTTTGGCACCCGCTCCAATTCATCCAGGAAGCTGTTTGGAACTCCCTTCAGTTCTGTGGGCGGGTCGTCGGCATTCTCGCGGAGCATCTCGATCATGTTCGCTAACAGATCCCCGTGTTCGTTGCTCTCGTCCGCCGGTCGTCCGCGCATGGTCTCGAAAGCATTGGCGAGCAAGCGGAAGGCCGCCGCCATGTTCTCGGGCTGCGGTAAAGCATTGGCATTTGTGTGCGCGCTGGGATCCGACGTGTCCACGAGTTCAAGCTGCGAGAAGAAGGTCGAGAGGTCTGGTCGGCGCGAGGGTTGCTGCGACTTGTCGTCTTCGGCGGAGATGTTGTGTTCGACTGTCTGGGTTAGCTGTTGCGTTGCGCACACAGTCGCTCCTGCCTACCTTCGTAGCCCGACATGGTGGCGGTATTCCAGATGTCGCAAGTCCGGATTAGGGTTTGTGGTTTGGGCGGATGTCCTTGCCAGCTGAAATTCTGAAGCTACGCGGAGTAGACGCGTCACAGCAGCAGCCTGAGACCCTGCAGTCTGGAAGGTGCGACCCCTCAGTTGTGGCGCAGGTGGCGCTCATCAGCCACACCATGACCCACACTGCATGACAATTCCACACTCCGCTGGTCCATCCCAGTTCTGCTCGCCATCGGCTCTCACTTTGGCCGCCGTCATTCTGCGACTGTCACATCGACATGTGGCGCAGCCCAAGCCGCCACCCTCATTGGCGCTCGCACAGTCCGAAGACAAGCTGACACTAGGGGAAGCTTGTCCATGTGGTATGCCATTCTTGCGACACGCGACACTGACGCGTTCGTTCGTAGTAACTAGTGAGGCCGCGTCTGTCGTCCAAGGTTAATGTGCAGTGTGGAGGAGTTCCCTGTCAGCGCTGTCCTCAGTCTAGCGACGCTACAGGCACCTTGCACCACCTGCGCGAGGTTGGGCGCTGCATGCATATCTTGTCGATATCTGGGGAAACAAGCAACTGATGCCCAGGCACAGATCTCGGCAAAGATGCGACTCCATTGGAAACCGCTGGCGTGCACTCGAAGCAAATAATTGGGGCCCTGTGGAGCCGGTGATCCAGATCATGCACAGCCTCCTAGTGTCCGCAACCAAGTTGTCACGCACACTTTTCCCTGACAGACAACACAACATGCCGTAAAGGGGCGCAGCCATCGCAGCGGCAACTGATAGAGTCAGATACAAGAGGCAAAGCAGCCGCTGTGACACACTCGAGGTCTGAAGCTTCACATTGCCAGTAGAAGTCTTACAGTGCACAACACTCACCGCTTGGACCATCGCCGCCGACGACTACCACTTCACTACTTCAGCCTACATCTAAATTTCCACCTACGTTCAATGTCGCTGCTCGTCATGTCCACAGATCCACCTTCTACTTTTGAGCGATTATCGCCCTCCTGGATACGCCGTCCCATGTCTCGAAGATCGACATCACCGCAAAAAGAGTCGCGGCCTACAACATCAAACGGCCTACTTGCACCAGAACCAGCGTCAACATTCAGCAACAGCGATGGCACACGATCACCACGCTCAAGCTCATCTAGCCGCCGCGGATCAATAATAGAGTTTGTTACCAGGTTCCGCTCTTCGTCCAACGCCAGTATCGCAAGCAACAAGTCGCAAGACCCAACAGACTTTAGTGAAATCGAGAACTGGTTCTACGGATTCCGGAGATACAACCAAATAGTCAGCACCAACACATCAACAAACAAAGCAGACCAACCGCAAGATCTCTCGAAACCTTTCAAGAAGCTGACGAAGAAGTGCGGGGGCCAATTTCTGCACGGGCTACCAGAAGCAGTCTTTGACTTCTCACTTCTCTGGTGTCCCGCCGGCCACCTGACCAGGAAAGACAACAACGAACCATCCTGGAGCTGGACTGCCTACGAAGGCCCCGTAAACTTCCCTTTCGATCCCACAACCTGTCCCGATGTGTACAAACTGCCACGCAGCGAGGGTGAATGGTTCCAATCCGAGATCTTACACTTCCATGTCGGTCCTGAGTCGGCGCAATACACCGTCCGGCGGGAAAAAGAAAACTCCCTGCGTATCAAATACCCGCCTTATTTCCACGCGCCGCGCGGCTCAGACCACACCAACGAATCCAACACCCTGCGGTTTACTGCCGCGACTATTAGTGCGGATGCGTTTACCGCTGAGCCCAACACATATGAAGGCAACGAAACCCCCTCCTCCCAGCTTATCAACTCGGAGGGAAAAACTTGCGGCGCAATCATGGACTACGAATCTGAACTCTCGAAGCCCTCTTCCACTGGTCCCTTTGAGTTCGTGCTGCTGTCCCGGAACCTGTGGCGCGAACCGAATCCCGATAATAGCAAGCCGGGATCGAATACTATGCATCCGACTGGCACGCCGATTTGGAATGGACAGCGTTTCATCTGGGACGAGAGAGTTGTTGATCATGATGAGTGTTTTGAGATGGGGCCGTGGAAGATGCTGAATGTTATGCTTATTAAGTGGGTGGGTGACTATGCGGAGAGGGTCGCGGTTGCGAGGATACATGAGGATGAGTGGAAGAAGCATAGTCCGACTAAGCAGGATGTTGTGCTGAGATGAGATGAGATGTTTTTGTCCTTTGGTCATGATTAGAGCGATGAGATGGGTTTGATGGTAGATATGCCGTTTGATTATGCTATTTTGAGCATATGGATAGCCGAATACGATGAGAGTTTATACGTCAGATCTAATCTTCATGAAAGTGTTTGCTGACTACAGGAATTGTTTCATGATTTCATTCCATGCCACTACATGCATGTAGGAGTCTACCAGTCAGATACCCTTGGTACTCGAGACTCGGAGAGTCCACGTAGCCTCCACGACTACTCATGAACCTCCCTCAAGAACAGGTAATGCCATCGTATACCTCAAGCCTTCTCATCCTTCTCCTTCTCCAGCTTCTCCTTTTCCAGTTTCTTCTTCTCCCATTTCGCCACCTCTTCATCAATGCACTTGAAGCTCCAGTTCTGGTAGAAAGGCGGGTACAAGAAAGGCCTCAAGTCGAATCGATTATCATCTGGCGAATATGCCTCGGCATGGTAGGAAGGCGTCATTGTCGTCATCTTGTGGCGGTTGATGGCATAGTAGTGGAAGAAGCGCTTGACCTTCACTGCGACCTCAGCGGGAGTATACTTGTCGGACCATTCGTGTGCTAGGCGAACCCAAGTTCCGTATGGACCAAGTTTAAGCTCTTTGCGGCATTTGCCAAAGACTCCGAGTTCTGCGTATGTCATGCCCATATCGACCTCGTCGCTCTGGACATAGTCTTCTGTGAGTGGTTCGAGTTCGGCCGTTGGGGTTGCGTCGATGAATTCGCCGAGAATGGGCAGCAAAAATTCATGCTGAGCATAAGAAATGAAGCTCTTGAGGTCCGTTTTGGAAATTGAACCGATGGGGTTGAGGTCGGCGCTGCTACAGTCGTACTTGGTGAGGTACCCACGTAGACACTCGTCGACGTTTCCTGAGGCAAGGACCAGAAGACTACCTCCATTAGGTCTACCCCTAGTTAATGGGAGCATCTGGGCGAAGTAGTAGGCTTGCACTAGACGTGTGCGAGCTGTAGAGGTAGAGGTACGAAGTCAGTATCTGTCTCACATGCACTTCGTACGGTCAGAACTCACCTTGTATATTCTGTAATGCCAGATTCTCAGCAGGCGAGCCTCCATGAGCCTTGAATCGTGGCTCAAATCCGACCGCTTTCTTCAGCCCATTCTTCGTGGCGGCGTAGATGTCATCAATATCGGCCTCAACATGGTAGCATCCAATGTCTTCCGCTAACCTCTTGGCACGGCTCCTGGTCTCTTTGCTTGATTGCTGAGACATACCCATGTATACGGTATGAAGAATGCCGTTGCATATTTGCTTCGGGCTCGTGGGCACCCAATTTTCGCCGTGATAAGGGCCTACGATGCGGCGGACATCCTCGAGAACTTGCTTGTTACCGTCCTGCACAGCATTGTACACGAGGCGGCACATGGAGAATACCAGAGTCGCGGTGGCACAACTATCGATCCCTCCGCTGAGGGGCAGCATGAAGCCAGCCTGACCGGACCGACGGAGGTAGTCCCAAAGCCAGCATGCAGGTCCTAGAGCGATCTCCTCTTCGGGTCGATGGTAGCGGAGCGGCTGTACTGGAGTGGGGCGGATGTTGGGATCAAAGTCTCCGTCAGACGACAGACGGAAATCCGCCCTGAAGCGTTCATATCGAGGAGCTGACGCAGCTTGTAGGCCACGAGATGGATTTGTTCTGAAGCTCCATATTTCCTCCAAGTCGATGGTTGCGTGGATAACTTTGACATCATTCAGGGAGAATTGAGAGGCCTGCGCGCGAACGCTACCATTGACCAGAATCTAGAAGATACAACTCAGTATACGTGTCATATACAGCTCGTACTGGATATCACTGA